AAAGAGCCCCTTACATTGTCTTCTGCAGGAGGAGAGCAACATTTCGCAAGTCTTCTGCAATGATATTTAGAAGTAATCAGCTTAAGCTGGTTTTCTGAAATTAATTGGCTCAATTTGAACAGACATTTAGCTTTTTCTATATACAACTTGATTGCTTTTAATTGTACTTTTGTGTACTACAGACAGTGAATGCAAGATGGGAAGTAAAATGTCATACATTGCTTCAACTTGAGTGTAGCTGGATATCCAGTCATTGGGAATAAATGACCCCTGTATCTGGTTTGGACTATAATGACACACCTTGCCTTCCCTAGCTGTTCCCCTGTACTGGCTGCAGGGTGGCTTGGTGGCATTGTGGGCATTTCTGGGGTGTTCAGTGCCGGAGGGAAGAACAGAATTTAACTAAACTACTATCCGCACAGAAATCGGCACTGCCAAGTGCTCACGTGCTGAGGGAAGATGAGGAGGCGTTTGTTGTTCTCAGTGGGTTGCCTTGGTCCTGTTAACAGATTCAGAGTGCCCGGGAGGGCGTGCTTGGTGCAGGGCAGAGCCATCGCCTTGCTGGGGCTGTTTCATGCAGCTCACTTTCTCATTCTCTGGAACCAGAAACAAGAGTACTTGACAATAACAGGTATGACAGTGTCGTGGTTCAACCCCAGCCAGCAACAAAGCACCACACAGCCGCTTGCTCGCTCCCACCCTGGTGGGATGGGGGAGAGAATTGGAAGGGTAAAAGGGGGAAAACTAGTGGGTTGAGCTAAAGACAGTTTTAATAGGGAAAGCAGAAGCTGTGCCCACAGCAAAGCAAAACAAGGAATCCATTCACCACTCCCCATGGGCAGGCAGGTGTTCCTGCCATCTGCAGGAAAGCAGGGCTCCATCACGCGTAACGGTTACTTGGGAGGACATATGCCATCACTCCAAATGTGTCCCCCTCTTTAATTCTTCTTCCCCTGGCTTTCTATGCTGAGCATGACGTCATATAGTGTGGAATATCCCTTTGGCCAGTTTGGGTCAGCTGTCCCAGCTGTGTCCCCTCCCAGCTTCCCGTGCACCCAGCGCTGTACCAGCTATCAGGAAGAGAAGTAACTCTATCCCAGCAAAAACCAGGACCGACAGTAACAGCAAGAAAGGACACCCTCACATTTGTGCTAAATACAAAATATGTAGTTACTAGTCTTGGTTGTCCAATATAAAAACTTCTGTATGGACAACAGTTTAAATTCTGTTGATATGGGGCAAAGGAAATAAAAATATAAACACTTTTTTCAAATGCCTATAAAGATTTTTTTGCTATTTTGAATTCTGAAATATCGAGGCCCTTGGCTTCTACAGCAGCTTAGCCAAATGCTCTATAAAGTATTTTACCATTATTATGTATGGAGCTGTGTCTCAGTTTGATATATCTAAAGCTGTGTAAAATTCTCTGTTGATTTTTTGTTTTGCCAGGCCTTGGCTCTAATACGTGACAGCTCAAATAGATGATTTGTCATCTTCCCCTGAGAAGGAAGGAAGGTACCTTTTTCTGGTCCCTTTCTTGGAGCTGCTGGAGCCTGCTGAAAGCGCTCGCCAGGATCTGGCTCCCTCTTGCGGGAAGCTGCCCGGCAAGCACTTGGGAAGAGATGCGACAGTGGAGGGAGATGGATGCAGCATCCGCAGGGAAAGCTCTGGTTCTGCGCCGTGGTTTTCCCTGCAGTTGCTGTTCTGGTAATGCCGGTCCTTGCTCTAGGTTTTAAACTCTTCCTAAACAGAAGGATAGCTTCATCTCTGTTCATTTACCAGCAAGTTCTGAGCTCTCCCATGCTTGTGTGTTAAGCATGGTTCTAACCCAGGGATGAAGGTAGGCCTAGTCTCTACAGCTGGCCTTGTCTCAAACTCTCCATATAGGAGAAATAACCCTCCTTTAGGAAAAGATAAAATGCAAGCAGCAGGTTAACTAAAGCCCAGATTACCAAAGGATTCATCTGCTGTAACTACTGATCACTAACGGCCTTTAGCTGTTCTGGGAAACATTGCCTCATGTTGCATTTTCCTACAAAAGCATGCTGTGCTTTACTCTATCGTTCTAAGTGAGTATCTATCTGTCTACTTCAGCTATCACAAGACAGGTGAACCAAGTATGCTTGCATGGGGTACAACAATAGATAGAAGAGCTCTAGTTTATTTAAAAGCTGTGCTTCTGTTTAACTGAGAATTGTACTGCTTCTGATGATCCAGTCTGGTATCTCAAAATGAAGCACCTTCTGTGAGGGTTGCTTTAGGTCAGAATGCAGTTTTCTTTCGGTTTGGTACAGCAGATGTCAAGCAAGATGCCCTGAAGAAAGTGAGTCCGATTTGATCCTGTGTCTGACATTTTTGTAAGTGGGAAACTAAAATTTGCCTCTGATCAACAGCTAACCGTTATCCTCCATTGTTCTTCATTAGCTCAGGTAAATTGTGTTCTAAGTCATCCTACTCAACCTCCATGCTGTCTCCCAGGCCTCTTGTTTCCTCCCTGGGCCTGGTGGTGCCCATCCTGTGACTCATGCTGACCTGTCAAGCTTAACATTCCTGCTAAACTCTAGAGGGAAGAAGGCTGTGCTTACAGAATGAAAGCAAAGAACAGCTTTCACGACACTGAAGTTCTTGCTAGCATTTCAGACTAGGAGCCTAAACGAAGTTGTATCTGTTTTAAATGCTACCAGTACAGGCAGAGAAGGTTGTGGCGCTGGCTTAAGAGCATATAAGAGCATGGCTTCTTGCAACTACAGTGCAATAATTATATTTCTTGTTGCAGAATCTGTGTCATCACTTTGGCAGAAGCCCATCCTCTTCTTCAAAATGGAAGAACAATTACAAGCATTAATTACCAAATCAGTGCCAACTGTAGCAGACTCCAGAATAAGGTCTCTGGGAAGTCAAAAAGGGTATGGCTTTGTGATTTGGTTAGTTTTCATTTTCATCTCTCACAGTGCCTGAGACTTTCTGTCCTTTCTAGAATAGAAACCAAGTTAATTTTGCTTTTTATTTTAAAACAGCCCCTCCACAGTTAAGGAATTTAGACTTTTCTCAAGAGGTGCCTGTCTAACTTGTCCCAGCCAGGGTCTTACAGTGCTCCTGCAGCACCGGTGGTTTCCAGTGTTGCTCAAACCAAGGCTAATGGTTGCATTTAGTAATTTTTTCATAGTATATAGAGTGACTTAAATATGCCTTTGTCAATCAAAAATTGTTTCCATCAAAATGCCAATGATTTGGAGACTACAGTTTTTGTCAAACAGACATGGATAGCAGATGGGCTAGTTCAGTGTGTTTCACGGTGGGTTTTCAAACACATAGTTTAACCTGGCTATATTAAGTCAGTCAGTCAACTGTGCTGTTTTTCTCCGCTCTTTGCTGATTTTAATCTGAATAAACTACAAGAAACTTAATTATGAATAAATTTGTAAGCTCTCACAAGCTTCTGATCTATTTGTGCACATATGTTGTTGTATTCCTGTCAGCAGGGAAGCACAACTGTGTAGCTTGCAATGACCTGTTACTATCACACTCCCTTTGTTTTAAAGCTTACAAACTTTTTGTGTTGCTGGTGGTAATACGCTTAAAAGCCCTGTGTAATTAGAAGTGTGTATACATGTGTGTGAGTATTTTGTATTTTTTCCTCCCCTCCCCGCCACACAGGGAGCTCAATTTTTAACAGAACTTGCCCCTCTGTGCAGGATATCTTCATCAGATGGAGAGGAATACACCATTTATAGGTAAAGTTTTTCCCTTTTTCTTCTTACCATAACATACCATGGACTTTTACTGAAACTTAACACTTTTGCAGTTGTATACGAGGGCGACTGATAGAAGTGAATGAAAACATTCTTAGCAATCCAGCTCTTCTGCAAGAAAAGGTAAGAAACTTTCTTGCTTTTTATTTCCTAACTTTTATTTCACTACTAACTTCAGTCTTGCTTTTTAGCCATCAACTGAGGGATACATTGCAGTGGTTCTACCCAAATTCGAAGAAAGCAAGAGTGTAACTCAAGGACTTCTGACACAGAAAGAGTATGAGGAAGTTTTATTGAAACGTCTTAATTCTTCTTCATGAAATTAATTATACAGCTATCATCTGTATTTGATACTAAATAATGTGCTTTTATTGTACATTGTCACTTTCATGGTATTGAAAGGCCTAGCGCCTGCTTTTAAAAGTGGAACTTAAATGCTTGATTCATACAAGAATAAACCAGTTCAAATAGTTTTATATTAAAATTTCCTTTCTCTTTTCCTCTGAAGTCTAGCACTACGGGTTTTCATATAAGCACAGAATGGTATGTTGGAGGGTATTTATGTTCCACAGGCAGCTTTGCTTCTGCTCAGTGCAAGCATAATCCATACAGAAAAATCATATGATTTAGCTATCACTTAATTTAACTACACTAATACAATACGGAGTTTGACAAAGGTGAATTGAAAATAAAAATGGAACAGAAGCCTATGTACAAAGAGCAGATAAACTTGAAAATAGCTGTTCCACACCAGGTTATATTTTCAAGGCATCCTGAAGTCAAATAATGCCCTTTGTACAGAAGTTTGTCATAATCAGCATCTGTTTTCTTAAATTTTAAATGGTATACTGTAAAGTCTATATAATACTTCAGTGGTTCTACATGCAACTCAAATTCTGCTCAGTAACTTTTAATGAAAAAGGAAGCAACAACTGCCATCTACAAATAAAGGTGGTAAAAGAAAAAGAAACTGAGTCAAGAGTATTAATCACTTGGAAATATACTTGTGGAAATACGAATCATGTCAACAAGATTAAAATACGGTGGTGGGTTTTTTTCTAGAACTACTTCATTGCAGGTATAACTCATATAACATTTCAGTGCTTTAGGCCACAGCCTTTCAGACTATATTCCTGATTCTGCTTTATCAAATACACAGACTGAAATATGCCAGAGATGAGTTTACAGACTTCCAACAGTAGTGTTACATACAGCATTTGCAGCACAAGGTTCTTTTAGATAAACTGTCTATTAGCAGCATCTTTGGGTTGAAACATCCATTAAGACATTCATAGGCATTAATTACAAAACTGGTATCAACAGTGAGCATAGGAAAGGCATTCACATTATAAAAATACATAACAATTAGACTAGTTGGTGTCATAATTGCTAAGTAATGGGACATCTATTAGATGTGACAAAGATCAACAGTTTTAATTAAAATTAACCTGGTTTGACTTTCCACAAATGAAAGCAATATTGAAAATTCAGCAAGTGTTATTTTCAAATGGGAGTTGCTGCATTTCCAAGTGCTATAATTACTTGCTCTCTAAAAACGTCATGTTTGTTATATGATTTTCTAAAGACTTGATGCCAAATGTCTCAGCTCTCCTTCCTGGAGTATGTACACTTGTACCAGTTTGTATTCTGTCTTCTCTCCATGGTGGGGCAGGTTTAATACAGCCATTTCCTGCTTTATTCTGTGTATATAGAAAAAAAGATTTCTTAAACAACAACAACAAAACCAAAACAAACTGACAAAAGCCCCAAAAACCCTTTAAAAAACTGCAGATGAACCAAGTACTCACCTTTCTCAGTAACTTGCAGCAAAGCGGAAGAAGTTGGCGTAAGAGAGTCATCACGTTCCTTGTTTTCAGAATGCATGCATCAACCTAAGCACGGCAATTAGAGTAAGACCACTGATTACTTTTATTATGCAATTGTTTAATGCATGAGATGATAATCTGTTCCAAGCTTGAATAGGTAGTAGTCTTCCTTCATAAATCCCTTCTAATCAAAAGGTATTGCCTAGCTTTTTTGAATTTCACTATATAGTACGCATAGAGCAACAGCATCCCTTCTGTTAACCCAAGACTTGAGCTAGGACGCAGAAAGGAATGACACGCATCCCAGGAGAAGGAACTACTAATAATACAATATTAAACAGTAATGTAAGCGTCTTGGAAAGGAGCTCTTACCACCCAAGTATGATTCATCACAATTCTTCGTGTTTTTCCTTTCATGTCCTGCCAGCATGATTTAGAAAGCTGTGCGGCATGTGAGCCTTACCTTGATATGAATTACACTAAAAGTTCGCTAAATCTTAAAGCATTTCCGTTCATGCCTCAAGTCTGACACTTACCACAGGTCACAAGTCTGGGCCCTCAAGAAACATTAATTTGATAGCCTATTATCACTATATGTGATACATCACTCTATAAACAGACTGGAGTTCCTATTTAGTTTAGCTAGAGAGTGTAAAACAAACCAAGCAGCAGCCCTGAGGTGCTCAGTTTGGTTTTGAGTGGCTTGGATGCTCAAGCCAGTTTCAGTCCCTGCTGGAAAATTGAAACATCTTTTTCCATAGCTCATTGGAAACAAACATCCAGGTGCACAGAAAGTGTCTTGCTCACATCGATCGTATTGCTGCTCAGGGATACTTGGAAGTCCTTCAAAAAGCCTGACCTCCCTTCCTGACTAAGGTTTGCAGATCTACTTAGTGTGGTAACAATGCTGAAACTTCTATGGCAGCTGTAGGTTATGTACTTCAGTAATAGAGTCTTCGGGGTTTGGAATTTGTTCTGTGTATATTAAGCATCAATAACAATGGATTAACAATTATGATTACAGTGGTGGAAATAGAAATTACCTTCATTAATATTTTGATCCCTGAAGCCCTTTCTTAGTGAGGTACACTTAATTACAGTTCATATCTCTCTCAATGAAGTTCTAGTGGATTACAGTATGATTACTGTAATCTAGTGGACTACAGCATTACTATATACAGTATTACTCCATCTCGTATTATTCAGCTGAAAATTCTGTTTCAGTATGATAAAATTCCAGTACCTCTCTTTATCTAGTGGGTAAGTTGAGGAAGATGTTGACAGAAATTCTTCGAAAAGTTCTCAGCAGTAAAAAGCAACATAAAGCAGTGGAAGCCTATGGACACCTTTCCACTTTTTTTTTTTTTTTTTTTTTTAAGACCAGTACACGAACATCATTGTCTTGGGAAACATTTCTGTAAACTCTTTCACTAACACTGAAACCCAAAACCCAAAGGACAATTTCAGTATTTTTTGTAATAGGAAGGAAAAAAATCCTATTACTTATTTTACTGATTCTGAGACTCTAAAGTTGGTAAGCTAGGGGTGGGGAAACTGTTCCTTAAAAGATGAGTATCAGTGATACGCCTGTGGCTACTGGGCCAGTTATACAAAACTCTGATATCCATGCTCCCTAAAGAAAACAATATAGTCTTGTAGAGTAATAACTCCCCAAGCTATCCACTGGCAGGCCTCCAGGTATTCCAGGTGCCAGTGTACTACATTTCACCCTCCTATCAAACTCTCAGCGTGCATGAGGGAGGGGGTCAGGTCAGGCTAAATTTCAGTGAAGCCCTTCTCTGATTGGGGGGGGGGAAGGCTAGAAAACAGTAGCACCTGTGCTGAAGAAAATCCCCTCCTGAGAGAAGATAGTGCGGTCAATGGCTTAGGTTACAGTCATCAGTGGGGGATGTCCCAATAGACAAGACATTTTCGGCAAGAGCAACAGTTCTTACTGTTCTTCCTCTATACTTCGCACATCAGCATCTCAAAACATGTTAAGTGCAAAACAGTACTTCAGGTTGAAGTAAATTCCTCTTCTACATAAGGAACAGCAACGATGACATACTGCATAGCTGAAAAATGCTTGCACAACAGCATAAAATTTTGTACTTATTAATTTTTATGGTCCTCTGTCAATCCAAGAAGTTCAGCTGTCAAGAAGTGTTTCATACTTTAACAGGAGCATAAATTAGGAAGTTACTGTATTTCAAAACAAGTTAGGTCTTACTTTCAGCAAAATATATTATTTTTACCTTACCTTTGTAAATGTAGCACTTTTACCCTGAGCAGAAGCTTTAGCTGTTATCTGGAGCTGCTTGCACATAGAGATGAGCTTTTCAGCCTCCAACAGAATCAAAGGTTTGTCATCCTCATGTACCTGAAACGTGTTTCAGGAAGACAAAACCACTCTGTGTTAAAGACTCCAATATTAAGTTAATGACGAAAATAACATGCCCAGCTTTTAAGCAGTCATCACTTGTGTCATAAGCTTAAGGGCTGTTTCAGAGGTCATACATCACCTGATCAGAAAAG